GGTGGGAGGGAGGGAGAAAAGTGGAAAAGGACGGTGAGTCACTCATGAGCATCAAAGAAGATTTGTTATCCTCAGTCTGAATTTTTGTTTAGAAAAGAAGCACAAGGTAGCTCTCTTCCAGACCAATCATCCATGGTCCTGGCTTTTGGCTGTGCTGGAAGCAGATTGCACGTGTTCCCCCTGCTCCATGCTCCTGTCTTGACCCAGAGGGCAAGAAGAAATAATGGTGACAACACCCAATAGGACTGGGGTGCTCATGCCTTTCCATTGCTAAACCCCAGTTACTGCCCCTTTCTCTTCCCTCTGTCCCTTAGTTTCTTTTTACTGTGGTCCTGAGATTTGGGGTTGTTTTTTGTTGGGTTTTTTTTGCATCCTGATGAGAGCACCACTGCAGACCATGATGTGCCTGGGGTTGTGGGCAGCTGCCCTGCTCTGCTTGTTCTCCCCTGGCACTGTGCGAGGTGACTGCTGGCTGATTGAGGGGGACAAAGGTTATGTGTGGCTGGCCATCTGCAGCCAGAACCAGCCCCCGTATGAGACCATCCCCCAGCATATCAACAGCACGGTGCATGATTTGCGTCTGAACGAGAATAAGCTCAAAGTGGTGCTGTACTCCTCCCTCAACCGCTTTGGCAACCTGACTGATTTGAACCTGACCAAGAATGAGATCTCCTATATCGAGGATGGAGCATTCATGGGCCAGTCAAACCTCCAGGTCTTACAGCTGGGCTACAACAAACTCACCAACTTGACAGAGGGCATGTTGCGGGGCATGGCCCGTCTCCAGTTCCTCTTTGTGCAGCACAACCTAATTGAGCTGGTCACCCCTACTGCCTTCTCTGAGTGCCCCAGCTTGATTAGCATTGACCTGTCATCTAACCGTCTCAGCCGCCTGGAGGGAAACACTTTCACCAGCTTGAGCAATCTGATGGTGTGTGAGCTGGCTGGCAACCCCTTCAACTGTGACTGTAGCCTTTACAGCTTTCTTAACTGGCTGGCGCTCTTCAACAATGTCACCAAGAACTATGACCGGCTTCAGTGTGAGACTCCACGGGAGTTCGCTGGGTACCCACTTCTGGTACCTCGGCCTCACCACAACCGCAATGCCATCACCATCTTCCAGTCCATGTGCAGAGGTGGTACCATCCCCTCCCTCTCCAGGGTCAACCCCACTCCTTATACTCCTGACTCCCAGCGAGACCTGGATGAGGGTTCAGCCATCAGCCCTGGGGACTTCCTCTCAGTTAAGCCTCCAGCCTCCTCCACCACTGACTCCTCCTTCAGTCCCAGCATCAAGCTCCATGATGTCACCATCACCTCAGCCATCCTGATGGTAACCATCCCCATGCCCTACAGTAAGATGTATGTCCTGGTCCAATACAATAACAGCTATGTTTCTGACATAGCAACACTAAAGAGCAAGAAGGAGTATGTCACAGTCAACAAGTTGAAGGCCCACACTGATTATACTTTCTGTGTGGCCTCCATCCGCAACAACAGGCGCTACAACCACACTTGTCTGACCTTTGCAACCCGGAGCAAAGGCAGGGAGGACCCTATTTCTAGTACTTCCACCACCACCCACTATATCATGACTACCCTGGGTTGCCTCTTTGGGATGGTCATTGTCCTGGGGGTGGTGTACTACTGCCTGCGGAAGCGGAGGATGCAGGAGGAGAAACAGAAGTCCCTCAATGTCAAAAAGACCATTCTGGAAATGCGTTATGGATCAGATATTGATACCAGTACCATGGTCCATCCTTCACAGAAGCTGGGTGAGCCACCAGTCATCCCTGTCTCACGGATGTCCTCCATCCCTTCCATGATTGGGGAGAAGTTACCCCCATCAAAGTCAATAGAGGCTGGGATGGAGACTCCTAAAGTCACCACTAAAGGCAATTACATTGAGGTGCGGACTGGTGGTGGGGATGGGCTGGAGCGAACCCAGCGGGATGAGGACCTGAGAGAGCTTGACAATGGACAAGGCTCAGCTGCTGAGATCTCTACTATAGCCAAGGAAGTAGACAAGGTCAACCAGATCATCAACAACTGCATTGATGCTCTGAAGCTGGACACAGCCTCCTTCCTGGGTGGTGGGACTGGTGTTGATTCAGACATGGCCTTTGAGTGCCAGTCCATCCCAGCCAGTTCCTCGGGTGGGCTAGAGCGGCCCAGCTTTCTTTCACCACCCTACAAGGAAAGCTCCCACCACCCTTTGCAACGCCAGCTCAGTGCTGATGCTGCTGTGGCCAGAAAGACCTGCAGTGTCTCCTCTAGTGGCTCCATCAAGAGCGCCAAGGTCTTCAGCTTGGATGTGCCTGACCACCCTCCACTCAGTAAATCTGACTCCAAATACATTGAGAAGGGCAGCCCACTCAACAGCCCTTTGGATCGTCTTCCCTTGGTGTCCCCGGGCACCATCCACCACTTGGAAGTCAAGCCTTCTTACCATTGCAGTGAGCACCGTCACTCCTTCCCAGCCCTGTACTATGAGGAAAGTGCTGATACCTTGAGCCAGCGGGTGTCATTTCTCAAGCCACTATCCCGGTCCAAGCGAGACTCCACATACTCCCAGCTCTCCCCCAGACACTACTTCTCAGGCTACTCCTCCAGCCCTGAGTACTCATCAGAGAGCACCCACAAGATCTGGGAGCGATTCCGGCCTTACAAGAAGCACCACAGGGAGGAGGTTTACATGGCGGCTGGGCATGCCCTGCGGAAGAAAGTTCAGTTTGCCAAGGACGAGGATCTGCATGACATCCTGGATTACTGGAAAGGAGTCTCTGCTCAGCAGAAGCTGTGACTCTTCCTCACTCTTTCCAAGGAAACAATACAAAACAAGACATCCCCCCAACAACCAGAAAAAAAATGCCACTTGACTGTGAAAAATAAACCAACAACAAAGTACTCCTGACAAATACAAAACTGACAAAATTGTTTCTTAAAGTTTACAACAACAGAAAACTCTCACACACACAGACACACACACCCCCCTCCCC